CCATCCCGAAAGCGCCGGGCGCCGGGACCCGGGAGACGCATGCCTCTAGCTTCCAAGCGCGCGGCCGGCCAGCGGGCTGCCATTGGAAGGCGGACTTCCCCCCTCGGCGGCGCGCGGCGCCCAGGCGCCAGGCCCGCGAGAGGAGGCCGTCGCCGCGTCGAGGCCCACTATTGGCGCGCCGTTGGGGTCGCGCCTGGGGTCGTCGCCTCTTGCGTTGTCCTTGGCGACGCAGAGCAGCGACGAGCGCGATCCTATCTGCGCGGCCTTCTGCGACATCGCCATGTTTTGCGCGGGAGACCCTAGTCGATTGCATCGCGCGTGGTCAGCCATCGATGCGCTGCCGGTGCGCGATCGGTCCTGGAAAAAAGCCGTGGGCCCTATCAGCGCAGTTACTCTCTGCTCGTGGCGAATTGGCTGGGCTATGTATCCGGCGACGGTCCCGCTTGCCGATCTAGGGCAACGCGCTTCAGCGCTCGCGGCGTCGCCGACGGCCGCCGAGAAGCAAGTGCGCCGCGGCGTTGCGAGGCGGCGGCGGGGCGCGAGGGTCATGGCAAGGCGCGACCGCCAGATGAGCGACGCGCGATGCGGCTCAGTTGCGGACGCGGGCGCTGCGAGCGCGCGTCGGTGATCCAGAAGCTTTCTCGAGGTTCGCAAGCGTTGCCTCGCGCGGGGCGCATTTGGCCAGTGTTTGTCGGTGGCGCGAACTGACGCATTCGGTTGGATTGGCTGCTTCGCATATGTGCATCGAAAGTGGATTTCAAAATGATGCGCCTGGATATCGCTCATTTGGTTGCGAAGCGTCGTTGTAGCCAGTCGATGAAGCGGAAGTCTCCGAGAGGGTGTTGACGGGGGACCTTGGGGGGCCCAGAATCTACCAGTCCGACCAAGGGGTCATAGAAGATGGCGACCCATGCTGGAACGAGTGCGACACTGGCGCCGGGTCGACGCGCGCGCCCCCCGCCGCGGGCCCAGCCGGTGCTCATCACCCCGACGAGGTGCGGGGCGACTGGTCAGGCAGGACATCGCGCATGCGCGATGCATGGTTTTGCTTTAGCTGTTTCTCGTCGCTGACTGCCAAGCGCGGCGCACTCGCGTGGATGCCGGCGTGGGTTCTCGCAGGAATCCTGGCCTGATTCTACGTGGATCATGGACTTGCCCCCCTTTCCAGCGCCCGGTATCCGAATGATTCCACGCTGCTTTGGGATAGGGAAAATCCACCCAGATGCCGCGCGCAACTCCGCGCCAATGGTTGTTTTGATGTCCAATGGGTCGCGCCGCGGAATCCACGTGCAAATCCGCGCCCCGGATGGGCAACGCCGCGAAAAATCCACTGAATCCACGCTGCTGAATGCCCTGCCTAAGTCTGGAGCTCCGACCAGAGCTGCCAGGGCATCGTCATCTTTCTGGCGGGACAGGTTTCGCGTCGGCGGCGCCTGAGCTCATGAAGCGCGGGCGGGCACTCGCCGTGAAGGGCCAGGAGCGTCCGCCGATCTGCGCGGCCATCGGCTAATTACCTGGCCCATCGCAGTCTTTCGGCAGGGCTCAAGGGTTTGCTGCGCTCGCGGCGTTCAAACCATCGCCGAAGGTCCTGATCGCGCGCGCGGACCCGCTGGCGTCACGCGACGAGAAAGACTCTTGACCACAAGGGCTCAGTGCAGCTGGAGGCACCCACGCTACGAGATGGAGGCATATCAAAACGGCTGCAGGTGCTCGACGATCACATTTCTTCTGGGTGCCAGCTCGCGCGTCCGTTCAGGAACGCGGGGGGGGGGGGGGGGGCAGGGCGCGCCGCAGATTTTCAACATGGGCAAAGCTTGGGCTGATCATTGCGCGAGAAAAAAGAGCGCCAGTGAAAGGCTACCCCGCGTGTATGGGGAGGAGTTTAAGATGGAGCATCGACAACATCGCAAGGTTGCGCGGTAATTGGTCTGGGTGGCGAAACGGATGCTCAAGGTTGGTGGTCGGGAGCCAGGTTTAAAATTTGTGCCTGCGGTTCGCTACGGGCCACGAGAGCATGCCTTCGCGTGGAGAAGCATGCCTTCGCGTGGCCCCCGCCGGGGGCTCTCATGTGCCCGAGGTGCGGTCTTTCCACGCAGGTCAAGGCTTCCCCAATTATCGCCCAATTTCTTCGGTCGGCGTTCGCCGACAGCCAGCGATAGCTGCAGAGCTGAAGTCCAAAAGTTTGGTGCGCTAGCGACTCTTCGCCTGAGGTGGCGGCAACGGCGATGGAAGCAGTGGACCGCTTCCGGCTGGAATGTATGCAGTCATGGTCAGCAGCTGAGGGCTTTGTCCGATCATCCTGTGACATCGAGGAAATAGGTGTGCGTGATGGTCATCAGCTTCGGCGTGCTGGAGCTACTATTTTCAATGAGCGTTGCGTGCCCGGGTTTGCATGGACTCCAAGGCGCTCTGCAACAGCTGCCGTGGGCCGCCCACTGGGGAAAGCAAGGCGGCATCGCATGTGTCGAACATCCGCGGGCGTCTACGCAAGCTGGCGGCCTTTCGGCACCCCGAGCGCAACGACCCGCTCGAACCTACACAGCATGCCTGCTCGAGAATGAGTTGGGCTTCGGCGACTTCGGTACCTCAGTGTGCTGGGGGCTGCTCGGTGTGCCGCCCTGGGCAGGTGAGCGGGGCTTCGACCCTCGCCGGCCGCCCCCCGACCCACGGCAGCACCCTTCCTCCCGGCCGCTGGGCCGGGCCATGCCGCCACGGGGTTCGCGCAGCCACCGGGTTGGGTTCACCCTCTTTCCCGCGAGGGCCACCCGCCTCAACTGGAGGAGCTGAATCTTCGGCGAGAAGCTACCGATGTTGTTTCAGCTGCGTTGGCCCTGGACGTCGGCGTCGTTGTTCTCATCGAGGGAGCCCTGTCCTTCGAAGGAGTGTCGCGTTACGGCGGCCTGCGGTGCGGTTATGCGAAACCGTGCTCGTCTGACCCAGCGATCTCTGGGTTGAGCTACTGCTGGTACTGGCTGGCAGGGGGCGGGGCGCGTCCGTCCTCGGGTTGTGGAAGGCGCGCACCTAGTGTAGAGAGAGCTTGGCGGTGCGTATGGCCATGCAGCATGTAAGGCAGCTCTCTGGGGTTCTGGCGCCCTGGCAGCGTAGACACGACTGCTTGGCGGTGCGCATGGTCTTGCGGGTCTGGCACGTCTGCAGGCCGCATGGTCATGTTCCACGCGCTTTTCTCCGTGTCACGGGGAGGAGTATTCGGCGAGCCGCTGCTGATGTTTGTTCCAGCTGCAATGCCCTCTGGACGTCGGCGTCGTGCTGTGCATCGAAGGAGCCCTGTCCTACGGTGGCGTGTCGGACCGCGTCGGCCTGCTGTGCGTTTTTTCGGCACCGTGTGCGTCTGGTCCAGCGGATGCTGGGCCGGGCTGCTGCCAGTCCTGGCTGGCAGTGGAGTTCCCCACGAGTCTTGGTCCCTTCCTCATGCTCGTTTTCGCGTCCGTCCTCGACGATGGCCTGGCCATCTTCGTCGAGTTCGGCGTCTGCGTTTGGGCCGCAACCGCTGCTGGGCCCGCTGCTGCCAGTTCAGGCTTGCATGGGGGCTGGCGGGAGTCCCCTGCGAGCCCACATGTTCTACGACATCAGCTGAGGTCTGAGCGGAGGCCACACTGCACACCGCCCTAGCTGCCCGATGTCTGTGATCTCCAGCTACGTGCCATGCCTCGCACCCTCGCACCCTCGCACCCTCCTCCTCCTCCTCCTCCTCCTCCTCCTCCTCCTCCTCCTCATCATCATCATCATCATCATCATCATCATTATAACGACCATCATACTCATCATCTAGATCCTCGTCTCCATCCTCACCATTAGCGGAATAACCGCCATCAACAACAGCATCATCACCAGCATCCTTACCATCGTCGTGGTCGCCATTGTCATTATCATTGCCGTTGTCATTGTCATTGCCGTCACAATCATCGTCAGCAGCATCATCAGCATTATCGTCGACGTCATCATCATCATCATCATCATCAGCAGCAGCAGCAGCAGCATCATCTTCATAAGCAACATCATCATAATTACCAACAACATCACCATCACCGTCACCATCGCCACCAGCATCAGCATGAGCATCAGCAGCGTCATCATCATCAACATCAGCAGCATCATCAGCATTATTCTTACTAGTATTATTAGTATTCGTATCAATCGTATTGGTATCATTCTGATCGTCATCAGTATTATCACCACCACCATCATCATCATCCTCATCATCCGAATCCGCATCCTTCTCCTTCATCATCACAACATCATGATCAGCATTGTCATCATTATCCGAAACAGCAGCATCATATTCATAGTCATCGTCGCTATCATCATCATCAGCATCATCATCGCCGTCAGCATAATCCTCGTGATCACCATCAGCATCAGCATCATCATCAACAGCATCAAAAGCAACAGCATCAACATCATCATCACCATCATCGTCATCGGCATCGGCATCGTCATCGGCATCACCATCACCACACTCACAATCGCCATCATCGAGATCATCATCATCACCACCAATCTCAGAATCATCCTCGTCGTCGTCATCATCACCATCACGACTCTCCCAACCCTGAAGACACGAGGTGTCACACGTGACGGCCTCCTGCGCCCCAAAATGTTGGGCTGGCACGGCGGCGGGACTTGCCGCAAACAGCTGGGGTGAGGAGGAGACGGCGGAAGGTTTACGGATGCGGCGGACGGGGAGAAGGGGGGACGAGCAGAGAGGCGAGGAGGCAGGAGGGGGATGAGAAGGAGGGGGAGCACAACGGGGAGGAAAGAGGTGAACGGGCGAAGGAGGGGGGGCAAGGAGGATAGGATAACAGAGTGCGGACGGGGCAGATGAGGAAAGTAGGAGGAGAAGGGATGGGGAAGGATGAAGGGGGGCCGGGAAGAGGGCGAGGGCAAAACCGAAAAGGACGGAAGGGCTCAGGACGAGCGAGGTGTGCACTGAGGGCAGGACCAAGGATGAGGGGTTCGTTACACATGAGCTCGCAACCGCGCCCCAGCGCTTGCCTCAGCTCCCTCATAGCAACAGCTCCAGCTCGGTGCGGCGATAACAATGCTCGGAGTCGTCCTCGAGCTTCGGGTACGACGGTATCAGGGCGTCCTGCGATCCGATGTACAGGTTGTTGTAGAGACGCCAGTACACGGCCCTAACTCTTCTAGCGGGGTGCCAGAGGCCCTGGAGGAGATACTGGAGCACCTTTGGAGAATCCAAAAGGTACCGATACCTCTACTCCCCAGTCTGCTCCTAGTGTCTGTTCTGACCAGGATTTCAAAACAAATCCAGCCGTGGCGAAGAGATCCCAAAAGGCCCAGAAATGCGAAGACGAGAAGAGGATAGCAGTACTTGTATCCTGTCCTCCTCTGAACCTTTGTAGGCCCCAAAGATATGCGGAAGCCGTCGATGGCGTCGAACACCGACATGATGAGGTGCGGCGACGTCTCAAAGATGTTCGGCCACACGTAGTTCATCAGGTGCTGCAACGCGTCCTCGCAGCCAAGGCCCTGGACGCCCAGCGCCAGGTGCTTGATCGCCCACGAGGCCGTCTGCCTGTGGACCAGGTCCCGATCCATGAGCGCGTCCTCGAGGATGGGGGTGACGGCGTGGATGTAGTCCTTGCCCATCTCGCCGATGTACTCGAACATGAAGCACAGGCTCTTGAGGACACCGTTCTGCACGTTCAGCTCCGGCACGCGGTACTCGTTCATCAGCGCGGGCAGCACCGTGAACGGGCCGCACGTCTCGGCGACGATGGCGATGGCCACCGTGGTGCAGATGCGCAGCTGGCGCTCCTGGACCTTCAGGTTGTTCAGCAGGGTGCTGAGCACGTCGTGGGGTCCGATGGCCTTGGCGATGTAGCCGAAGGTGTTCACGGCGGCCCTGCGGATGGCCTTCTTGTGGGCCTTCAGCAGCTCGAGCAGGTCGAAGCAGATGCGGTTCCACTCGCGCGGGGGCGCGAGCTCGGCGCCGCGGTCGGCGATCCTTCCCACCAGGTCGATGCAGTTCTCCTGCACCTTCTCGTGCCGATTCTTGAGGATCGGGGTCAGGCGCGGCAGCAGGTCCTTGATGGGAGGGGTCATCTTGGACATGCCGATCACGTTCACGATGGCTTTCAGGGCACCCAGGATGGAACCCAGCACCTCAGGATACTCCTCCCCCAAGTATTCGTACAAGAAGAGACCCAAGTGCCCCATCATCTGCTCCTCCCCGCACTGCTTCATCACCACCGCAATGCGTGCAATGAGGTCCGCAGCTTGCTGGCGCACGCGAGCAGAGGGTGTGTTCAAGCGCCACCTGATGATACCCGCAATCTGAGGCAAGTACGGCTTGACACGGGATCCAAGAGAGTTCACAACTGTGCCGAAGCCGTTGAGCATGACAGTGGTATCGTCGGAGGTCTGCTCCTGGAACGCGTAGACAATACCGTCGATGATCTGCTCCTCTAGGCGCGAGTCGATGTCTGCGACGCCCAAGTTCGCGATGACCTTGTCGATAGTCTCCATTACCATCTTTCGGTAAGGCTCCGACGCATCCTTCAGATCCTCGACGATCCGACCAATGATGTCAGCGCCCCCCACCTTGTTGGCGATTTCCACGGTGGTGTCGACCAACTGCCGGTAATTACGTCGATCGAGGGCCATACGGACCACCCAGAAATTCCGGAAGAAAGGGGGCAATATGTCTTCACGGATATAACTCGGCTCGACGCCCTCAGTGGCTACGCATTGTTTCACAACCTTCAACACTATTTTCTTCATCTCCTCATCTGGCGTGGAGAACTCACGGATGAGGATGATCATGACCTGCGTATTGAGGTGGCTAAGCAAGGGCGGCATAAGGGGGAGAGTGAAAGTGGGGTGGGAAAGGAGGGGGAGGAGGAAGATGCGGAAGAGGATCATGATGGTCGTGACCTCGCGGGTGTAGTAATTGGCGTGCTCGGCGTCCATGAGCGGGATGATGAAGCCGATCGCCTCCAGGAGTGGCAGGGGAAATAAGGAGGGAAGTTGGAGAGGGACAGAGGAAGGGGGATAGGAAGCAGGGGAGGGGGGAGGGAAGGAGGAAGCAGCGTTGAGAACCAGGGGGGGCGAAGGGGGAGAGAAAGGGAGGAAGAGCGAGGGAGGAGAAAAGGACGACGAGGAGAGTGGGAAGGTAGGGGAGGGACCTCGAAGACCTCCTCCTCCTCCTCCTCCTCCTCCTCCTCCTCCTCCTCCTCTCCTCCTCCTCCTCTCATCCTCCTCCTCTCCTCCTCCTCCTCCTCCTCCTCCTCTCCTCCTCCTCCTCCCCCTCCTCCTCCTCCTCCTCCTGCCCCTTCTCCTCCCCTCCTCCTCCTCCTCCTCCGCCTCCTCCTCCTCCCTCCACCTCGGCGGGAAGGACGGGGAGGGCGTCATGAGCCCGGTGGCCTTCAAGAATGCGGCCAACCCCTTGCCGCGGTGCTCGCAAATCCCCTTCCACAGCGGTCGCAGGACCGTGTCGAAGGCCTCGGTCCCGCAAGGAGCGGGGGAGGGTGGGCGAGGACGGGGGAAACGGGGGGGAACAAAAAGCGGGAAGGGAGGAGGGGGAAGAGAAGGGGGAACAAAAGGGGGATATAGGGTAAGGAGGGGGGAGGAACAGAGGGAGGAGAAGGGGAAAGGTGGGCCGGGGGAGGGGGAAACATGGGGGCAGATGAGAGGGGGGGCGGGAGGCGGAAAAGCGAGGTGCGCTCGCGCCTCCAAAGGGGGCCCCATCGTGCCATGCGCAATCGGAGACAAGTGAGCTGCGTACATTGGAGGAGGAGGAGGAGGAGGAGGAGGAGGAGGAGGAGGAGGAGGAGGAGGAGGGGAGGAGAAGGGGCAGGAGGAGGAGGAGGAGGAGGAGGAGGAGGAGGAGGAGGAGGAGAGGAGGAGGAGGAGAGGAGGAGGAGGAGAGGAGGAGGGGGAGGAGGAGGAGGAGGAGGAGGAGGAGGAGGTGGCGGATGAGCACGAGGATCAGGGGCAGTCCGCCGACCCCCGCTTGCCGGGGGTGAAAAGGTGTGCGAGACATTCGGCTGTCCCCTCCTCCTCCTTCTCCTCCTGTCCTCCTCCTCCTCCTCCTCCTTCTCCTCCTCTTCCTCATCCTTTTCCTTCTCCTCCTCCTCCTCCTCCTCCTCCTCCTCCTCCTCCCTTTTTTCCCCCTTCCCTGAGGTCCAAGATGTCACTCTAGGGGGAGAGGGGGGGGGCACGAGCTCGTCAACGCACACCCAGGGCCTCTGGAGCCCCTACAGAGCCCCACGACAGCCCGACAGGGCCCAGGCAGAGAGCCAAGACAGTCGAAGAGAGCGTCAGGATGGCCCAAGGAGGGCCCACGACGATGCAAGATGGCTTCCAGATGGGCCACAAGGCCCCCGAGGCAGCCCCAAAGCGCCTTCAGAGGATCGCCGAGAGGGCCCCAAGAGGCTAAACTCATTCCATTCCCTTCGAAAAAAGTAGAACACGCTTGCATTTCACTGTCTGACAGCGAACTGAGTGGCCTCTCTAAGATCGTCCCAGGACGGCCCATGATGCCTCCAGGAAAGGCCCCAAGACTGCCCAAAGAGGGCCCAAAGCCATCCCCAGGGGCCCACCAAGACGGCCCAACGCAGCCCTTGGAGGGCCCCCAAAAGGACCGCGGGGAAGTACGCACTGACATCTCGAGCCTGCTGGTCCCTCGAGCCCCCCAGAGACGCCCGAGGCCCTCCCGAGAGACCGAGAGACCCCAAGAGGCCTCCAAAACGCCCCCAATAAGCCCCCCACGAGGCCCCCCAACGGCCCCCGGAAGCCCGCCAAAGCCCTCCAATAGGCCCCCGAGAAGCTCCCCAGGAACCCCTCACATGAACCCCAAAAAACTTCTGACCCAAGATGCAACTCCCACGATCATCTCAAACCATCACTCTTTGTGGGGATCGGCGGGATGACGCAAGCCACTTGAATAGAAGGAGGAGGAAGAGGATGAAGAGGAGGAGGAGGACGAGGAGGAGAAGACGGCGGCGGCGATCGCATCAGGCGCACGGGTCCTCGTTTTCTGGCAGGCAGCACGATCACGGCCAACTAGCACCAGCAACCAATTATATCCCAAGCTCCTCGCGTGCGCTGAAAGCGGTGCCTAGCACCGACGGGGGGGGCGCAATGTCTCACGAACCTCTCGGGACAGATCCAAGGCCGCAGACACCCCGACAAAACTTCGCTGCTACTAAGGAACGAATAAAAAAACGAGAGGCAGGAAAAAAGGATGATGGCCTCGCTGGCCCCGCCGACCAGTCACCGCTGGTTCATTGCCCAGAGGCGCTGTCAGGTCTCCGAGGGGCGAGTCCAAGGATACAGGCCTCCAAAGAGTTCGAGCGGGGGTCCGTCGAGGGCCTCTACGGGCGAGGAGGAGGAGAGGGCCTCGAAGGGCGAGGAGGAGGAGGAGGAGAACGATTCGAAGTGCGATGTTCAGGCATCCCAGGACTCTGCCTACGAGAACCCGTTTGGCGCTCACTCGACCGGGGCTCGGGCGGGGCAGTAGATGCAGGCAAAGCCTCCTCCGTCGTGGACGTTCTGGAAGTGGTCCGCCCTGTCGCCCGAGTCGGACGCGTGCAGCTCTGCAATTGACTGGGGCTCGATCGGGGCGCTATCATTCTCATCTGTCCAGATACAGAAGAAACGTTCACCGTGTCTTGACAGTTCAGGAGTCTGCTGTCGTGTCCAGCAACACCTGCACGAGCCTCTCGCGATGACTCCTTGGAGCCTGGCCGCGCTTGATGGTCGCCCCGAGCTGCCGCGGGGAGTCGAGCAACTGCGTCTGAATGCCAGTCTCCTTGGCCTCGATATGGGTTTTCATCGCCGTGCGACCGTGCGTGTAGCTGATGCGGCAGTGGCGGATCGTCTGGCACAGGGAGTCGTTCGTCACTGCGTTGTCTTCTTTCCCCCCGTCCATCCAGGTCGCGATCGCCCGCGCGCTGATGGCGCCCACTCTCTCGCCCTGCCGTCGAATCGCCCCTGCCAGGGCCAGGCAGAGGTGGGAGTTTCGGCTCAGGCCGGTGATCAGGAGGTTGGGGCGCAGGCCTGCCTGCGATCCTCCTGCGCAACCCGCCTGCGCTGAGACCAGCGCCCCCTGCAATAACGCCCGCTGCCGCTGAGGCCGCGTGGCACCACCGGGCGCGCTTGCGCCGCGCGCAGGCCCGGCTCCTGCTACACGCCTGGCACAGGCGGGCGAGCCCCCGGCTCGCCTCCCGCCTGGAGGACGCGCGGCGCCTGCTCGACGGGCACCACGGCTCGCGAGCGCCAGCCATCGAGAGGATGGCGCCATCAGGCGCCGCCAAGAAGCCGTACTGGGGCTGCAGCAAGTGCGGCTTCGCGACGAACTGGGCGAACAACCCGAAGTGCCACCAGTGCGGCAACGGCGCGCCCTACAAGGTGCTCGCGCGGCTGGCTGGCGCTTGCGACGACGACGGCGCCGTTGGCGCCTCAGGGGCGAAGCCCAAGCCGAAGGCGAGGGCGAAGGCTGCCGCCGCCGGCGCCTCTGGCGAGGCGAAGCTGCGGCAGCAGCTGGACGCCGCCAACCGCAAGCATGCCCAGGACCTCCAGAAGCTCAAAGGCGAGTTGGAGCAGCTGCGGAAGGACCGGGCTGCCGGCGACCATCGTGCGGAGCCCGCACCTGGCGGCATGGACGTCGACGGCGACAATGAGAAGGGCAAGGCAGTCGCCTTGGCCCGCGACCGGCTCAAGAAGGCGCAGAATATGCCGCTGGAGTTGCGCGACTTGGTCGCCGGGGGCTACGACGCCTGCATCGCGAAACTCCAGGACGACCTCGCTGCTGCGCAGGCGGCGCGGCGGGCAGCCAATCCTCTCAGCAAGCAGCTGGAGGTGGCGGAGGCCCACAAGACGCGCATGGCCAAGAAGCTTGCTGAAGCCCAGTCGGCTCTGCAGGCTCGGGAGGCTGAGCGCGAGGAGCTGGACAAGAAGATCCAGTCGCAGCATGCGGCGGTTGCCGAAGCCGAGGCCGCAGCGGCCAAGGCCACTGCGGAGGTCGCCGCCCTGGCGGCCCAGTACGCCTCGGAGCGTGCGCCCGCCGGTGCAGCCGCGCCCGCACCTGCTGAGCCGGCCGCCGTGCGGCTCCCGGCCGCAGCCCCGGCCGGCTACGTCGCCGTCGCGTACGCGGAGGAGAAGTGGCGTGAGCGCGAAGCTCACTTTGAGCAGCAGCTTGCACACCTCCAGGCGCTGGTGGCCGCTCAGGCCGCTGAGAGCGCCAGCGCCGCCTCGGAGGGGGCACCCAGCGTCGTGGCCGACGACCTCGCCTCCGTCGACGACCTGGCGGGCGACGACGACAAATGGAGCCAGGTCTGCCGCGCCAAGCGGAAAGCGCTCCTCCGCCGGGAGCGTGATGCCTTGGCCGGCAAGATCCGGACGGGTCTGGGCAAGGTGTCCACCGTCGCGTCGCCCTTCGTCAAGAAGTAGGCGGCGGACATGGTGGACGCGGCCGAGCGTAGGTTGCCGGGCCGCGCCCCCGGCAGCTGCCCCTGCCAGGCTGCGGCGCATGGCGCCCAAGCCGCGGGGCGGGCTGCTGCCAAGGAGCTTCCGTGTGCGGCCGATGCGGGCGGAGGATCGGACACGGGGTCGGTTGGGACCGACGGGCCTGGCGCGGGCCAAGGTGCAGCCAGGAGCGCAGTTGCGGCCCCCTGGCGGCCTTGCGCGGGCCGTGAGCGGGGGGATTCAGACCCCTGTCGTCACAGCTCACGGCCCCGCCGGGGACGCGGCTGCCACGAAGCCGCCGCTGGGGCTGTCGCCGAGGCCGCCCGAGGCGCCAGGAACGCCGCCGGGGCCGCCAGGAGGGGGCCCAAAACCTCCCCCAGGGGGGGTGACATTCCCGCCGTCGCCAGCGGCAGTCGGCGACGGCGGCTATGTCACCCTGTCCGGGGCCTCCGCCGGGGCCTCCGGGGCCGTCCCCGGGGCCCCTGGGGCCGCCGCCCGGGCCTCCTTGACCACCTCGGGTTCCCGCCCCGGGCTCGCGTCCACGCAGCCGCCGCTGGGGCCGCCGCCGAGGCCGCCCAGAGCGCCGGGGTCGCCGCTGCGGCCGGCCGCAGGGCTGCTGGCCAGGCTGACGAGGGGCTTCTGGACGCGGCCGAGTGCGGGTTGCCGGACCGCGCCCCCGGCAACCGCCCTTGCCAGGACAAGGTTGTTGCGCCTCATCCTCTTCTTCGCGGCCGTCGTCCGCATTGGCGAGGCCGCTCACCCTGGCCCGACCCTCCAGGGCATCGGTGATGAGGAGTGGGATTTTGATGCGGTCGTCGAGGAGGCGATCTCCGCCCCCGCGGACGTCCTGGACCCCTTCCCTGAGCCTCCAGACGGCCCGGTTGCCGCCCATGTGCTCGAGGGCGCCGTCCCTGTCTTCGACGCGCCCTTCATAGCCAGCCAGCTTACCGCATGGCGACAGGCGGAGCAGATGATGAGTATTGGTCCGCCACCTCGTGCGGTTCAGCGGGAGCGCCGCGGACGTCCTGCTGATCTCCGTGATGCCGACTTCGGCCCCGAAGCCGTCACGGTTCCGGCTGCTCAGTTCTGCGGCTCCCACCCCGGCTTCTACTATGGCACCTCCGGGGGCACTCTCGGCTATCATCGGGATCGTGGTGGTCCCCTCCAGCCGCCGCCTGCTGCTGCAGCCGCTGGCAGGCCGCCAGAGTCGGAAGTGCGCACGCCCTCACTGGCGGCCTTGATTGACTGGCAGCCGCAGGCCGCCTGCTGCCCCCATCGCCGCGCCCGCCGGCGTCGCGCCCCCGATGGCCGCCGCCTTCGCCCTGGCCAGCGTGCCGCCGCTTCCAGAGGCGACGTCCCGCAGCCGCCTGCGCAGGTCGGCATTGAGGACACGCATCTCCGTGCCCGCGGGGCGTGGACCATCGATACGGCCAATGCGAATTGTTGGGACACGTGCCTCAACAAGGTCATCCATCGGACGTCCGCCGACGTGCTGTTAGTCCAGGAGCATAAAATCCACACCGAGCTCAGGCTGGAGTCTGCCCGCCGGGCTGCGCAGACAGCTGGCTGGAGGTCGCATCTCGACCTTGCGCACTCCACTGCTTTAGATCGCGCTTCCGGCGGAGTTGGTGTTCTCTGCCGTCGGCGCGTCGGGCTGCACCCGCACGCTGGCCTCGTCGCCGACGGCATGCAGCATCGGTTGCAGGCGGCCTGGCTGGGAGCTGTCATGAAAGGCGGCCTCCACCTCTGCAGCATCTGGCTCTTCCACAGCCAGGGCGTCTCGGAGGCCAACCTGCACGTCCTCGCGGAGGCTGCTGCGCTGCTCGGGGCGCTGTCGGGGCCGTGGGTCATCGCGGGGGACTGGAACATCACGCCGGAGATGCTCACGGCGACCGGCTGGCTTGACATCGTCAAGGGTCGCATTATCTCGCCAGCGACTCCTACGTGCAACGGATCCACTTACGACTTCTTCGTCGTCAGTCGCTGCATCGCTCATGCTGTCCTCGGGGTCAGCCGGATCGACGACGGAGGGTTCACCCCGCATTTCCCCACCAGGTTGTATTTGGCTGGCGATGCTCGCCGCAAGGCGGTCCGCAGACTAGTGCGACCTCGCCGCATTGACGGGGAGCTCCCTCATGGGCCTCTGCCGGATCCTCCACCTGACACGTGGGAGTGCGGCGAGATTGTCAACTTTACGCAGCTCGAGGCCGCCATCGACAGCTGGCACCGCGCAGCACGCGGTACTTTCAGCTTGCTCACCAGCGTGCCTGCCCCGTGGTTCCGACCGCGGTTCCGCTGGGAGCCCGCCGCTGGCCGGCCTGCTCACAGACACGCTGGCGCTTCCGCCATCGCTGTCGCCTGGCGGGGGTGCTCTGCGCAGGCTTTCGAGACCGCTGCCATCCTCGGACGGTCGCAGCGGGCAGCTTCCGACGAGCTGCTGCTTGCTCGCCATTGGTCCCGAGTGCTCGCCGCGGCGCAGCGCGCGGCCCACGCCCCCGGCGAGGTGCCTGAGGCCATGCGCGCTTGGGCGGCGGCTTTCGGCCACGCGCGCTGCTCCCGTGGCCTCACCGCCCTGCGGTCCCTGGCTGCTCAGGCTGCTCTGCATGCCCAGCGGATCGAGGGAGCAGTGTCGAGGGCGCGCCTGGCCAGCTACCGTGACGCCCTTGCTGCCCCTGGCTGCCCCCGCGCGCCTCGTGCGTCGGCGTGCGCCCCAGGACGCCTCGCGTTCCGATATGTCCGTGGCGTCGGCGGCTGGGCGCGATCCCCTGTAGGGGACTCCCGGTGCGAGGACGATGTCCCTGATTCGGACCCGCTGGAGCACGAGTGCGCCGAGGGGCGGATCGAGGAGCTGATGGATAGCCGCGGACGCGCCGCCGTGGCACCCCTTTCCGAGCAGTCCGCGCTCGACCGCGAGGCCGAGGGCTGGGCTGAGCAGTGGGCGATCCAGGAGGAGTACCATGAGCCGCGCTTTCCCGAGCACTTGATTTCGCAGCCCCAGCCGATCACCTTGTGGAGCCTGGACCAGGCCATTGCCTCTTTTCCGGTCGGCACGGGCCTCGGAGCTGACCACCTAGCGCCGCGGGCCCTCCAGCGCCTCCCCATTGCGGCCCGCATCATGCTCATCCACATTTTGCTTGCTGCTGAGCGGCTCGGCGGGTGGACATCCGCATGCAACCTGGTGCTGATCGTGCTGTTGCCCAAGCCTGACGGCGGCCTTCGGCCCATAGGCTTGTTTCCCACTCTCATCCGAGTGTGGATGCGCACGCGGGCCCACGTGGCCCGGGCCTGGGAAGCAGCGCACGCCCTTCCATCGGTGTTCGGCAGTGCTGGACGCGGCGCGCAGCGCGCGGCCTGGGCCGCAGCGTTTGCAGCCGAGGCGTCGGCCGCCTCCGCGCGCCACCACGTCGCCTCCCTCCTTGATCTCGTCAAGGCGTTCGAGCGGGTGCCGCGCCACCTCGTTGCCGCGGCCGCGGCGCGATTGAACTTCAATTTGGTCATCTTGCGGTTGTCGTTGGCGGCTTACCGCTTGGCTCGGGCCATCGGCGTGGAGGGCACATTTTCGTGCTTGCCCGTCGCCACTCGCGGCATTACAGCCGGCTCCAGCTTCGCCACGCTGGAGCTCCAGATGCTGTTGCATGAGTCCATGCTCATTGCTACGAGGCGGTGGCCTTTGCTACGTATGTACCTGTACGTCGACGACCTCACCATCACTGCCAGCGGCTTCACCGAGGAGGCCTTGTTCGCCGTGGCGCGCGGCACGGATTTCTTCGTGGGCATGTTCGAGCGCTGCCTCAAGCTCACGGTGTCGACCACGAAGTCGTTCGCGGTCGCCTCGAAGCCCAGATTGGCGGCAAAGCTGGCCAGCCTGACCCGACAGCGGCTTCTGGTGCCGAAGCGCAGTGTCAAGCTGCTGGGCACCCCTTTCGCCGCAGGTCGCACTCGTTCTGTTGGCGTCCTCAAGTGCCGCCTCAAAGAGTTCCGGAGGCGCATTCCCCGGGTGCACGCCCTGCGCCGCCAGCGAGTGGATGTCACCCGCGTGGTCAAAGCGATGGGCGGCCCCAGCATGCTCTACGGCATTGACATCGTTGGAGCCTCCAACACGCACCTCCACAGAGTCAGGGTCGCCGCACTCTGCGCAGCCTTGCCCCCGGGGGCGAGCCGCCAGGTGGACGTCGGCTTCGCCGTGCTGGATGCCGGAGGCGCCGCGTTGGACCCAGCGTACGCCGCGCACGCCACGCCGTTACGACACTGGGGGTTGGCTTATTGGCAGGAGTGGGCCCCGGCGCTGGACCTCGACTGCGTCTTCGAGGCGTCGCGGGATCGGCTGGCCGTGATCGCGGCGAGCGGCAGATCACCGTGGGCCGCCGTTGCTGGCCCAGCGGCTGCTGTCATTGCCACGGCCTGGCGACTCGGGTGGCGGCGCCCCTCTCCAAGACGCTTTTTGGATGACTTGGGGGGGCCTGTGGATTTCATCCTCATGTCGCCTGCCATGGTGGCGGCCGCTGTGCACAGATCTGTCGACAGGTGGCGCACCAAGCGCGTGGTCTCCGAGCTGCCCACCATCGTCGACGGCCCGCCGGATTTGCCGACCGCCCAGGGCGCCGACTCGTTCACGGTCCTCGTGGAGCGCCCCATTGCGCGCCTCCTGAAGGGCCAGGGGCGGCCGCACCGCACCGTTCCGCAGTGGTCCCAGCAGTGCCGGTCGATGCTGCTCTCCGCAGCTACCGGCGGCCAGTGGCCCCAGGTCCGCATTGCCCGGTTGCGGGGTGCCGATGGCGTCGAGGATAGGAACTGCCAGCTTTGCGGCGCGGCGCTGGGCACGCTCTTGCACCGCCGCGTCTGCGAGGCGACGGTGCCGCCAGATGGGTGGCCGCGCCCCCCGGAAGCGTGCCAGGGCTTCCTCTCCACGCTCTCGGAGGCCCGGGCCGCGCTCCTTCGCGCGCGCGGTTTCCTGGCGCTTCGTCTGCCGCGCCCTGTGGCACAGGACGAGGTCGCCGTTCGCTGGTTCACGACGCCGCCGGACGCAACCCGTGACGACCTAATCTGGTACACTGATGGGTCCATGAAGTTCGGGCCGCTATGGGAGCTCCGCCGGACTGGAGTTGGAATCGCGGTCGTTTCCGATCGTGGGGACCTCGTGGGCTTCGGCAGCGCTGTGCCTCCTCCCTGGATTCGCGCAGCGGCGGCGGCGGAGCTGTGGGCCGTTTCGCTTGTGCTCGCCATTGCCCTGGTGCCGCCCCGCATCCGCACCGACTGCCAGTCCATCCTCGCGGTCGCTGCGGCTGGCACGGCGTGCGCTGCCAAGCCCACGCGCTTGCTTGCGCAGGTCTGGTCGCGCGTGGCTACGCTGTTGGACGGCGACGTGTCGGAGCTGGTCACGTCCGGCCGGCTGACGTGGATGCCAGCGCACGGCACTCCGGCCAGCATCGGCGCAGCTATGCGGTCCGACGGCGGCGTCGTTACCGCGGTGGACTGGCGTGCAAATCGCTTGGTGGATGCCGTCGCCAAGGCTGCTGCGGGGTGCCCGCCGGAGTGTGATGCGGGCGCCCGGCTCCTCCGGGAGGCTGAGCTCCTCGTGGCACACGAGGGCGCGGTCCTGGGGGCTGTCACCCACGCCGCGAACCACCACATTCGCGAGCTGGTCGGGCCTGGCGGCGCCATCCGGCGCGTCACGGTGCGTGACGCGGCTGCCGTCCGGCGCCCGCGGGCGCTGGCGCGCCCGCCGCGGCACGCGCCGCCGGCACCGCAGCTGCCCGCGGGGGCGCCGCCCCCGCCCGCGGCGCTGCTGCCTGCCGCGGCCGCCGGCCGCCCGCGCGCGTTGGGGGCACGGCGCGCGGCGCAGGCCACAGCAGCTCGCGCGGCCTCTGCTGCGCGCGCCGCCGCTGCCGACGCGGCCACGCGGGCCATCTGCGAGGCGCGAGCGGCCGCGGCACGGCCGTCCTCGGCGCCGCCGCCGGCCGAGCGGCTGGCTGCTCTCCGGGCGCGTGTCCTCGCCCGCCTCGGGCAGGGCGCCGCGGCCTAGCTCCTGCGCGGGCCGCGGGGGGCGGCTGCCGCGCTGGGGCTCCGGGAGCCTGCATTGCGTTGCTATGCGGGCGGCGGCGGGCTGTGCCGGCCGCCCTCGTCTTCCTCCTCCTCCTCCTCCTCCTCCCCCTGGTTTGGTACATCAGCTGCCGCGGGCACGCGTGGGCCGCGCTGTCGCCTCGGTTGTCTGGCCACCCGGAAAAAAAAAAAAACAGGCAGAGGTGGGGGTGAGGAACGTCCAACGCGTCGAGTTCTGGCACCTGTTGGCGGTCTCGAAGGGCCCGGGCATTCTCTCGTCGCAGTCGCTGCGCTTCCTCGACGTAGCATCTGCCCGTTATGCGCGTGGCCTTGCATATGTCACGGTCCATGTCCACGTGCACCTGGTGGAAAACCGCCGCCTCCAGAGGTGGCACCCCTGCGTCGCGCGAAGCGTGGCCCTCATCATCCCGGGAAGGGGGCTTGGGCCAGCTCCAGAGGGGCCCCCCCCCCTGCGCCTGCGAGGCCAGGCCCCCCCGTCTCAGCCCGACGGCGTTGTCCGCGTTGTCGACGGCCTCATGCAGCAGGCGCGCGAGGTCTGGGTTCTCGAGGCGCGCGTGTGGCGCCTGACGGGGGCGGTCCCCTCTGCCGCAGCCGCGGCCCCGGCTGCTGGTGCAACGCGCGGCGGCCGACCCCCCCCCCCCCCTCCCCTGCGAGTCGGTCTGCCTCGGCCTCCACTGCGGGATCTGAGGGCGCGATCTCTGGCTGCGGGCCCTTGGCCTATGGCCCTCTCGGCGAGATCTATCGCGGACTCCTGGTTCTTCAACTTCAAAAACAAAGGCAGGGGCAAGGGGGGCGCGCGCGTCGCGAATGTGACGCTGGAGTTCAGGAAGGCTCTCAAAGGGGTCAGAATGTCTCACCCGGTGGCAGACAATCCACGAACCCTGCAAACGCTGCCCCCAAGTCAACGCAGAAGGGGCAGTGGAGGTCCGCGGGCTCTTGAACAGGAGAGGTTCACGGGCTCATATCACAGAGACATCTCCCACGGCGTAACGACTGGGCGACATGTCGCTAAGCGGCGACCTGGCTCCTAAAGGTGCTCGTGTAGTAGAGGCACAGGCTAGTGATGACTAGCGTGTGAGACGGGGCCCGCATCTTGGGGGTAGGATGGTGGCATGGATGAGCAATACGGGCCCCTTTACTATAGTATACTAGCCCACGCCTCCCATCCTCACCATCTCCTGGAAGATCACAGACGCGCTCCTGCAGGGGCTCTTCTGTGGCTCCGTGAAGAGACGTTTTGCAGCGTCAAAGCCGACGAACTCCCTCCCTGCCTCGGGGGGGCGCGAGAATGTCAAGCGCACTGTAGGCCGCCAAAAACTCGGGCCGCCACGCAGATGCTGGAGCGCATCCAGGTCCTGCTCAAACTGGCGGGCCCCAGGGTTCGCGCCCCTCACAATCCTGCCAAAGTCCGTGAAAGTGGAAGGCTCAACAAGTCCTTCCAGTGAGCCGAACGGCGCGGTCAGCGCCTGTGCGCAGTCGGACGGGTAACGAACGAAACTCAGCCACTGCCGTAACCGTAGACTCAAAAGCTCGGGCCTGGAGTCCGTGGTCCTGAGCGCCTTGATGACCTGGTCTTATGACGTGGATCTGCACGTTTCGACTCGGGATATGCGGGGTCAATTTCGGGTCGGCGGTCGCGAAGGGCAACGCGCGTAAAGCCTAGCGCCGCCGCGTTGAGCCTGCGCAAATCTGGCTTGCCAGGGAGGTGCGTCGCTAGGCCCGAGTAGGCCGCGCTAGGGACCAACCCCGAGAATGCCATCCACTTCAGTCTTACCGACTGCGTAGCCCCCCAGAACCTCCCAAGCCTTCTTCAAGCCGTCCGAGTAGCCTCCAACCCCCTCTTCGCCTCCGCGCAATCCTCCGGTCAGCCGCCCCACGCCCCCCCCCCCCCCCAATAGAGCAACTCCACCGAAACAACTCCTGGTAACCGAATCCCCTGGGACAGCGAAGTCCCGGTCGCAGTGTAGGCACCTGGGCCCGCCATCGCGCGCATGGAATTCGCCTTCTCGGGATTTGCGAGCACCCGCCCTCCCCCCGCAACGAACGGTCAAGCCTGGCACTCGACTGGGTAAGTCTGGCCCTCGCCTCCAGCAGGTTGGGCGCCGTCGGCGCCAGTGCGTTGTGAAAACCATCTGCGTATAGCCTGACGGATACATCATGTTCGTTGCGTGCGATCGCACATGTCACGATGCTGGCGGCGCGAGCAAGCGGAACAGGTTGCTCGAGCTTCTCATCGTGATACATCGCGGGGTCGCGGAGCTGTTCTTCTCTCCACGTCTCGATCGGGCGCGGGAAGACTCGCGCAAAAAAAGGTCGCAATTGCGCCCAGCCCCGTCCCGATCCATGCCCAGGATGAGAGAAACCAGACTGCTCTCCCGCCTGAGTCTCCATCACCGCCCCCTCGCGTCGCTGGCGAAAACAAAAGCGCGGTCTTGAACTGCATCGACCACTTCATCTTCAGACTGCGAAAGGGCTGCATGTGACGTCGAACGAAACGCATTTCTCATGCCATTCTTACTCTGGAGATGTGAAACCCCTCTCTTGCGAAGACGCCAGCTGTGCACCTTTGCGGCCAACTGTGCGTTCTGTCTACTGCGATAGGGAGCATATACATGAGCATGTGGGGGTAGTGAGGTCGACATGGGCGTAAGTAGAGCCCACGATGCCAGGACTTCCGAAAAGGGGTAACAGCAATGGATGAGCCTCATAGCTTTGGTGGTCTTTGTTCAGGTTCCCTTTGGAGAGCTGGAAGGTCCGGCTCCAGTGCCAGTGACATGGGGTTCCCGTTGTGGACCTGATCGGTCTCAGGATCTTCTGGGGCCTCTCGAGGAACTTCGGACGCGGAACATGAAGCCAGCGGAGTTCGAGTTGCCGATAGGCATGGGCACTGAGATGCTCAACGTGGGGCCATTGCCCCACCAACTGCTTGGTCGCATGCTGCATGATCCAAAACCAAAGCTCTGAGGGTGAGGAACGCTTGAGAGTAAAACGTCGACGCGCGGCTTTCTTCAACTGGTCGACAGTACGAAACCAATCATCGTGAGCCGAGGAAGCTGCGTGGGCCCCTGGGTCATATTCTGGGCCTTCCTCCGCAATCCTGTCGAACGCCTCCAACATCGGCTATTCCGGCGAGTCAAGCACTCGCGCGTTGAACCCTCCCTTTCGAGCTGTCGACGTCATCGTCTCAGACCATTCTGCCAGCGACGGAAGATACCGTGCAGGAACATTCCAAGATCGCTGGCGAGCTCCTCTGCAACGACAACCAACCGCATACATCGTCCTCCAAAGATTGTGGGCATCAGCAAGAATATGATGCACGGCCGCTTCGTCCATCAACTCATCTGTCCGTGCAATGTCGACGCGGCTCCTCTGGGTTTTGATGTGCTTCTCTGGGTCCCTGGGTTTCGAACGATCGGCTTCCGTATAACAACCACACCTCGCAGTCTTTCTCTGTTCCAGGAGAACTTTTCGCTGTTCGAATAAGGGCGCATGGGGGGTCGAACGGCTCTGGCGTTCAGCTTCAGGCAGGGCAGCAGCTCTAACATCCTCGACCAGGTGTGCCCAGGCAACCGACGGGCCGGGCATCATAACATCTGTTCTCCACTGCTGCAGGCTGGCCCCCGAAAGTTTCTCGAGCTCGGCGAGGACGGGTGCTCCGACAGTGCCTCGGTGACGTAGGAGCTTGGCAATGAAATCTTTGTCCCATTGTGGGCACTGATATCTCTGTGGGGGCGCTTCCAGGGTATACGTTACTTGCCACAACAGTGGTGGGTGATTCCGAAGTCGGGAATCTGGGATGGCCCACAGGCAGCGCATCGCGTGCTTGAGTGCCCTGCATCTGGTAGTGGCAACGATCGCACGTGCAAGCACCAAGATGTGGTCGGGCGAGCTCGTGGCCTCTGCGCCGTAACAGGTCGGCCCTACAGGAAAGAAACTGTCAACGATCGCAAGATCCTCCATCTCCATGATGCGCCACAGCTCGACCAAGACTTCATTCTCGAGCCCCTGTGCGAACTGGCCCAAGCTGCGGGAGCTGCATGTGGGGATCGACAAGCCATGTCCCACTCGCCGGTAACCGAACTGGCAATTCGAGTCTACAGCAACAAAGACAAATGAACGCGCTTTTGCCTCTTGAACCGAACGATGAATCCAGGCTGCTAACATGTGACAAGTCGAGCGCCAATGTTCAATTTTCATACTGCTGGGAGGAAAAAAGTACCCGCTGATAGCCGTAACGTCAAAAGCTCCATATCTGAGTCGTATCGTAACTCCCCGTCCAGCGAGGTGTTCAGGAGGAAGCCGTAGGTCCACACCACGCGACGGTCTGATCACGCTGCTTCTGACCCTGATTCTAATCCCTGCACTCTTGTTGGTGTTCCTCCACCTCTCCCAGCCAAACTGGTACAGAATGTGGTGTGTAGTCCTCATCGCCGTCACAGGTTCACCCCACTTCTGTCGTTGGGTTGTCACAGGAAGCACCACGATGTCAACATACTTCAACGTATGCGAAATATCCTCCGCTCTCCACGAATCAAAAAGGTGAAGAGGATTGTACAATAACACATTCAAAAGAGAACTGAACATCAATAGTAGCATGTACAATTGTGATTAGAATGTGTGGAAGAGCCCCCTCCCGCTCGCTTGGCGTGTGGAGCGCGGGGCCGCGGGGGAGGCGAAACCTGCCCGTGGCTGCGGTCCTGGGCGCAGGGGCTGGAGGAGGAGGAGGAGGAAGGAGGACGAGGACGAAAAGCAGCAGCAGCAGCAGCAGCAGCAGGAACTGGCGGGGAAGGAACTGGAGAATCAGGAGGACTTTGGGAAGGCTGAAGAGGGGAAAGGAGCGGATCGACAACAATGAGGAAGGACTCGGATCCAAGAAGGCGGCCCACGCTGGGGCGAGAATGCCATTCTGAACGACGGCCCGAAACTGAGGCCCACGCTGCGGCAGGATCACACTTGTGAAACACCGAAATCAATCGGATCGCAACACAACCAAATATTAGAAACCTCGACGTTTGAAATCTCATGCGTTATAAAGAATGCTCAGAAAAGGGGGTCGTTCCACCCCCGGCCATCTTCAGGGGAAAGAGAAGGGCAGTTCTCATACTGAGCAAGTGTGAAGGACGGAAGGAAGGGCAGAAAAACGGGGGGGGAAGTGGACAGGGGAGGAGGGAAGCTGGGGTGGCGGAGGAGGAGGATGGGAGGGAGGGGGGTGGGGGGGGGGGGGGGGGAGGGCAATGGGGGGGGAAGGGCGGGGGGGGAGGGCGGGGGGGGGGAGGGGGGGGGGAGGGGGGGGGGGGGGGGGGGGGAGGGGAGGGAGGGAGGGGGAAGGAGGGGGGAGAGGAAGAGGAGGGAGGGGGGAGGGCAAGCTAGGTGCGCTCGCGCAACATCTGAAGTCATACTCCTCCCTACCATCCTTTACCAAGGCGCTTCTATCCCCTCTATTCGCACAGCCGAATGCCGAGCAAGGCAATGATCCCGAGAGGGTACGCGATGGATGGTAGAGCACGGCATAGCATGGCGTAGAAGCTCATGCAGAGCGTACCTTGTCATAGTATGGAGTGGCATTGCATAGTGAAGCACCGCATCACAAAGCATTGCAACGCAAAGCATGGCATCGCACAGCGGTGCAGAACACAAGACCTCGCTGTCTGTGATGGCATGGCACCGGGTTCCTTGGAGTTGAGTGTCTTCGAGGGGTCTGGGCCAGTCTGAGAAGTCGCGGCTCCCTGTTCAGCTCTCTGGGCTCCCCGGACAGCTCCACATGAGCCGGGGCTGATAGAGAGCACCCGCTGGCTCTGCTTTCAACATCGCTTTCTCAAAACAGAAACGGAGCTCCCGCCTGATACCTCCTCGCAACGAGGCAGCGGTAGCACGATTTGGAACGACCGGAGGCTCAAACATGGGGCCAGCGCTGCAGCGGGAGCACCTTATTTTGAAGGACCGAAAAGAATCGGACGGTGGCAACACGCATATGAAACCAAACTCCCGGATCCAGCGTAAAAAAACCGTCTGCGGATGGGTGCTGGCTATCTTCCGCACAGACTCAAGGGAGAGAGAGGAGAGTAGTACTCGTCTTGTGTAATTGTGGAGGGGGGAATGAGGGAGCGGGAAGGGAGGGAGGGAGGGGGAGGGAGGGAGGGAGGGAGGGGGAGGGAGGAGAGGGAAGGGGGGGAGGGGAAGGGAGGGTGCAGAAGGGCCTCGATCCCGTAGGGAGTGGAGGCCTCGGCGAGGGCCGCCAGCGCGAGGGCGGTGATGGTGCGGACTTTCTGCTGCTCGTCCTGCGGGCTCGTGTCCCGCCTGCGCCCTCTGACGCTGCTCCTTGGCCTCGTCGCCTCCCCGTCCACGTGCGCCTCCCCCCCTGCCGCCGTCTCGTCCACCTCGTCCTGCCCTCCGTCCGCCCCGAACTGGCATGCCCCATACCCGCCCTTCCTCCTCCTGCCCCGACTCCAGCTTCTGCCCAGCTCCCCGTCGTCCATCACTCCACTGTCCTCCCTTTCCCTTCCTCCCGCTCGCCCATGCCCCATACCCACCCGTCCTCCTCCTTCCCTGCCTCCTCCACCTCGCCAACGTCATCAGCATGATCCTGACCCTTCTCCTCCCCATCCGTCCCACCATCATCATCATCAGCATCATCATCATCAATATCATCAGCAGCAGCATCTGATCGTCATCATCTTCATCATCATCAGCAGCATCACCACTATCATCACCACCAGCATCATCACGATCATCCTCCTCCTCATTACTATCATCATCAACATCAGCATCATCCCCATCCTCCTCCTCACCATCATCAGTCTCACTGTACTCATCATCATTACCATCAGCAGCACAATCATCATCATCACCATCAGACACATCATCGTATCCATCATCATCCTATACAGAATCGCAGTCAGCAGCACCATCAAAATCAATCGCACCATCAGATTAATCGTCATGCGCACCCCACTCGCCATCATGACGATCACCTTCATACTGAACAGTAACCATGTGCATCACAATCGTTGCCAGCATCATGATCACCACCACCATCATAATCAGTATCACCATCAACATCATCAGAATGACAGTCAGCATCGTCAACAGTCGCATCAGCATTGACATCATCAGCGTCACCACCATCATCAGCAGCAACATCATCAATTTCGTCATCAAAATCACCATCACCATCATCATCAGGATCCGTCCCATCCTTCCCTCCTCATCATCATCCTCTCTTCCATTGCCCCCCTTCTCCTTCGCCTCCCCCCGATCCCGCGTGCTGTCCTTCGCCTCCTCTTTCTTCTCCCCTCTTCCATCCTGCAGGCCGTGAGCGATGATGTCCACCATCTGCTTCAGGTGAGGCAACACGGCGCAGCCCATAAGCATGGCGATCTGCTGCACGATCTTGATGCCCGTGTGCCTGGCCTTCCAGGGAGGGGGCGGCGGAGAAAGAGACGAAGGATCGAGATCGAGATCGGGCTCGTGGAGATCGGGCGCCTGCTCGAAGCTATGGCGACTGAAGGCTTGACAACGCGCCGTGCGAGAACTCAGGTTGGCGAGACTCGGCTGGCCGCCAACGCTGCAGGCGGCCCCCGGAGGTGGGGGCGGAGGCGGATTGGATGCAGGAGCATCTGCAATTGAGCAGGGGCCGACCGTCCCGGCATTCCTGTAGTCCTACCACGAAATGTTCTTAGAACCCCAAAATGATCGAATAAGAAAACACTGCTCTTAGAACGTAGACCCGATGTGTTGAAACAAGACAGTCCCAGCCAGAAATATTCTAAGAACATTTCGCGCAACCCATGCAAGGTTCTTAGAGCACTGTTTGGTAGGGCTACAGGCGAGCCGGGACGCCTCGCCACTGCTTGAGGCAAGGGAAAAAAACAACTTGCCGGAGCTGTGATGCGTGCCTTCTGCACGCGCGTGTGTGTGTGTGTGTGTGTCGCCGAGGCCAAGACGCTTCGCTCGCTTCGCCACTGCTCGAAGTCTGAGTCGCCGCGCTGCAGGCCCAGCATCTAGCCTGGGCGATCCTCGGCGTCCGCCGACGGGCGGCCCCGTCCTGCCACGGCGGGCCCCCGGCAGCGAGGACCCGCCCGCTCCGGCGGGCGCCGCTGCGGCGGCGTCGGCAGCGGCCCGTGCGGCCTCGCTGTGCGTCCCGCGCCCACTCCCGCCGCTCTTCGGCTGACTCCGCTTCTGCGGCTGCTGCAGCGGACTCCGCCGTGTGTGCGTGTGTGTGTGTGCGTGTTGTGTGTGTGTGTGCGTGTGTGTCTGTGAATGTGTGTGCGTGTGGGTGCGTGTGTGTGTGTGTTTGTGTGTTTGTGTGTTCTGGCAGTTTCGGAAGTATCTTGTCATCGGCAGCTTCCTGGCGCTTCCAGGCAGGGATCCGGAGGGCGAGAATGAGGAGGTCTAGGAGCATGCCCGTGTACCTCATCTTCAAGGTGAGTGGAGGGAAATGAAGCTCAGGATGCGTTCGGTGTTGTGTTTTTCACCGCCAACGGTTGTCGGGTGAGGTTTTCAGTGATTGCCCGGATATTTGCGGATGCTCTTGGAAAGGTTTCCGAAGGAGGAGGAGGAGGAGGAGGAGGAGGAGGAGGGGACATTGCCAGCAGGGTGGCTGGCTGGGCGGGACAACCAGCGGAAGAAGCAGCTAAGCAAGGGGAAGTCCGATCCGAGCCACGACAGCAAGCGAGTTGAGGAAGGAGGAGAGCCGAGAGCAACGCGGGAAAACCAAAGGAATGGAGGTCGCCGATGTGATGCCCAACTGTCAACGCGCCTGTCCACTGCCGCGTGCTCTCCCCCTCCCCGCCATCCGACGATGCTGCTGACACGCCCCGCAAGTCCGTGGCCGGAGAGAGGGGACAGAGGGCCCGCGCTTCACGGTGCTCACTCGTCGTCGTCCGCGGCGTGCACGTGCTTCTCAGGAGCCACCCAGTTCGGAGTGCGCGGCACGTTCGGCGGATTCGACAGCATGGGCACCTCGAGGTAGAATACATGGCCGGCGCAGGCCCCCAGGCTCATGGCGAAGAAGACCAGGACCCACTTGGGATTGCTCAGCGCGCAGTTACTTCAAGAGGTGCACCCGCACGGGGCACTTTTTGCGTCGGCGGCGAGGCAGAAGTGCTGCTCCAGCAGGCTGGCGATCGGGGCGACCGATACGCTCATCGGCCAGCGCGCAGGGGGGGAAACTGGGCAGACCGGGCGGCCGCGAAGGACGGTTGGAGGCGGAGGGCACTCCGACGCGGCAGAATTGCAGGCTGAGTGCGCCGCTCCGCGCGGGAAGCACCCCAGACCCCAGGCGTCATGATTTTTTACATGACGCGACTCCAGAGGTCCGGACCCACTCCCCGGGACCCGTTTTTCATCCCGAGTCGTTTGTGGACGGTCCCGAGGCGCGGTGAAGGCCCCCGGAGGCTGAAGCTAGCGAAAAGCCTCCCGTCGTGATTTCTTCGCCGCCCGAGGGGGTCTGGGACTGGGGACCCGGAGCAGCGGCCCATGCCAGAGGGGGGGAACTCGGCGCGGGGAGCGAGGTGCAGCAAACGCGCCCATGGTCACTGCTGCGAGCTGCCCGGCGGGCACCTGGCTCGCAGCAGCAGCGCCCGCCCACCTGCTGGCAGCATTCACAGCGGCAGCCTGTGCCGGGCCGTGCGCGGGGGGGAGGCGCGCAGAGTGTGTGTGTGTGTGTGTGTGTGTGTGTGCGTGTGCGCGGCAGCTGGAGCCAAGATGGCCACCGGAGGAGGAAGGATGAGAGAGGGCGAGGGCGGCGAGGAGTAGGAGGAGGAGGAGGAGGAGGAGGAGGAGGAGGAGGAGGAGGCGAGGGCGAGGGGAGGGGATGGAGGGGGGGTGCACGAGCTGGTAGAGCAGAGCGGAAGGAAGGCACGGCAAGGGTCCAAAGAGAGGAGAGGAGGAGGAGGAGGAGGAGGGGGAGGAGGAGGAGGAGGCTGCAGGAGGAGGGCAGAAAAGGAGAAATAGGGCAGCGAGAAAGGAAGCGAGGAGGAGTAGGAGGAGGAGAGGAGGAGGAGAGGAGGAGGAGGAGGAGGAGGAGAGGGAGGAGGAGGGGGAGGAGGAGGGGGAGGAGGAGGAGGAGGAGGGGAAGGAGGAGGAGGAGGAGGAGGAGGAGGAGGAGGAGGAGTAGAAGGCTGAGGACCAGTGTAAACCCAGTAGTCATCAACGATGTTGGAGTAAACCCTCCCTCCAAGCTCCCTCTTCATAGGCTCCTACAGCGGTTCGTTTCCATTGATGGAACTGCCTCGCTGGGAAACACCCAGTTGAAGACCCTGGAGCATGTCAAAACATTGCTCTCGGGATTCCATCGCCACGGATTAACCTGACTGTTGCGACTTGACGATCCCGAATCGTGCCAGAACGCCAGTCCTAGGACTTCAACGCAGAGAACCAACGAAATTGTTGCACCCGCATAATCCTGAATCCTTCCAAAAAGAAAATCTCTGCTACGCTGATGATGGGAATCCATGGAAATCTTAAAATCTCGTAAAACGACTGTGCGCGGCGCTAAGGCGAGAGCCACATTTTGAAAACCACACGCCCTCAACCCGTGAAACTCTCACAAATGTCTTAAACGAACGCGCGCGGCGCTAAGGCGAGAGCCACACATTGGAAACCACCCGTCCTTCATCTGCGAAGCTGGTGCAGAAGTGGTGAGGAAGTCTCACGCGAAACGCCCGGCCCGCCCTAAAACTGGCCTCGGGGTGCGACAGGGAGAATTCATTGATAAGGAAAAGGGATGGAAGAGGAGGAGGAGGAGGAGGAGGAGGAAAAGGAGGATCACTGACCTTACTTCCTGGTCTGCGAGTGGGCCACCATTAACAGTTACTCGGTGGAACAGAAAGGACCGAGGAATTGCTAATGAGGGACACCCATTGCTTGGGGAGCCCCCACCTCGCAGCCTGCTGTGGGGGTTGTTAGACGGGGGCCAGCCTGCGCTAGCACCCCCCAAAACGGTTTCCTAAAGGGCTGCAATATGCGCGCAGCGGTTGCAGCAGCCGCCATCTGGTGGCTGAGCGATCCTGCCCTCTCCAAGGTTGAGGGGGGGCACCGACGAGCAGGAGCGAAGTGTTGCCCAGGGGGGAAGAGGATGGGGAACTCGGCGGAGCGGGCGATCGGGTTTGGAGGGGACAGGAAGTGGAAGCTGCACGGAAGGCCCCTATGTGGCAGAGTGCCTCCGGCACACCTGGGAGAGCGTGGGGGGCCGTGGACGGCCTCACATGGCTACAAGATCGCCCAATGAGCCCGCCAAGACCTGCGAGGAGAGCTCCGCGAGGCACCCGGAAGGGGTTCCAAGAGGGCTCCAGAGAGCCCCAGACGGCGGCAGAGGACCGGAGAGCGCCAGAGCTGCATGCCCGCGAGGCCGCAAGACACCCTCCCGTCCAGAGTCACCTCAGGCAAAAAGTCCCTACAGGCTGTCCTTCTCACTGTCAGAGGCGCCCCTGCGAAACAACCCCTGCAGTGGAGGCCAGTTCACAAGAGACCTTCCACAAGAAACCCAGCCCTGATACCGAGGAGGTCCGGGGATTTCTGGTGTGGGAGCGTCTCGGTTTCCATCGCAAAGCCGTCGGAACCCAAGAAACCCAGGGCACCCTAGGGTGTTTCTTGGCATGGGCCCCCACTGTACGGGACGGCCGACCAGACGAGAGCCCCGTTTCGAAAGAGTGCCATGGACTGTTGCAGTGACTATTTTGAAACGCCCCACCCCTCCATTCCTGAAACTGCTACAGAAGTGGCACGACGAGTTGCACGCGGCGCTAGGTCGAAACACCGGTATTAAGAACGACCCCCTTCCATCCTTGAAGCTGGTGCAGACGGTGAAGAAGAATGTGCGACAAAAGCAAAAAACGGTACTCGTCCATTGAAGGTGTCGCAGACGTTCGAAACGAGAGGGCGCGCGGCAGAGGCGATTGCCCCTTGTCGACAACGCACACACACACATTTTTTGCGTCGGCGGCTGGGCAGAGGGTGACTGCTCCGGCGGATGGGCAACAAGGGGCACGCTGCAATCCAAATCCCTTATTCATCGTCCCCCGGGTCCAGTTTGTTTAGGGCGCCTTTTTTTGTAACGGGGGGGGGTCCAATTTATTAGGACGCTTTCTTTGGATTGGAGCTTAATGGGTCCGGTTTACTAAGGCGCCCCGTCGAAGAGGGGGGTCCAGAATATTAGGTCGCATTTGGAGGGGGTCCGGTTTTTTAGGGGGTCGGTTAATAAAGGATTTGGAGCATGCAAATGAAAGCCGCCATGCGCAGAGGATGAGGAGCCCTGGCGCGACAGGAGGAGAGGAAGCCGGGCCCACCCAGAGTCGCCGACGGCGGCAGGGGGGAGCCCTGGCACACACACACACACACACACACACACACACACACACACGCGCACACACACAAGCACACACACGCGCACACACGCCCCCCCCCCCAACACACACATACACAACACACACACACACACACACGCACGCACACACACACACACGCACACGCACACGCACACGCACACGCACACGCACACGCACACGCACACGCACACGCACACGCACACGCACACGCACACGCACACGCACACGCACACGCACACGCACACGCACACGCACACGCACACGCACACGCACACGCATACACACGCACAATCACACACGACCTCCAGCTTTCAAGCTTGTGCACACGTCTAAGAGGAATGTGCGCGGGCCCGAGGCGAGGGCCCAACTGTCAAAGAAAGATGCGCTCCAGTGAAATCGAAATGCATGACCAACCTCAGGGCCAGAAAATAATCGAAAGTCTCGGGCGAAACGCCCAGCCCGCCCTACCAACACATGTGGGGTTGCGGCGTGGAGGAGTTAATGCGAAGACAACCATCGCGGATGGACGAGGAGGAAGACGAGAAAGGTGCAGGCAGGATGAGGAAGGCAGTGGAGAAGGAGGAGGGGGAGGAAGGAGGAGGGGAGGAGGAGGAGGAGGAGGAGGAGGAGAAGGAGGAGGAGGAGGAGGAGGAGGAGGAGGAGGGGGAGGAAGGAGGAGGAAGAGGAGGAAGGAGGAAGGAACCCATACCCCCGACGTCCTGATTTTTTTATGACGCGACCCCAGAGATCGGGACCCTTTCTCCAGGACCATAGTTTCATCTTGAATCGTTTTGTGACGGCCCCGAGGGCTGGTGAGGGCCCCCAGAGGCCAAAAATAGCAAAAAAACTCCCGTCGTGATTTTCTCGTGGCTCGAGAGGGTCTGGGTCAAGGGAGGAGGGAGGAGGAGGGTGGGCGCCCGGCCTGCCAGCTCTTCTTGGACTGGCAGACCGCGCGCAGGAACAGCAGCAGCGCCGGGATCCCCAGCGCGGAGGCCACCACGGCAAAGGCGCGCGCTGTGGTGTTCCGGACGTACTCGTCCGCGTGGTCGATGTCCGGCCGCATCGTCGCTATCATCGTCGCGAGGCCAGCGGCCTTCGAATGACATGAACCCCAAGAAATGAATAAAAAAACTACCCTTTTCGGCAAAAGGGTAAAACTTCCCGCACCGGGAAGCGTTATCCTGGCTCCCGCCGTCAGCAGGAGGAGGAAGATGATGATGATGATGATGATGATGAGGAGGAGGAGGAGGAGGAAGAAGATGATGCTAATTCTGATGAGATGAAGATGATGATGATGCTGCTGATGATGCTGCTGATGATGCTGCTGCTGCTGCTGCTGCTGCTGATGATGATGATGATGATGATGATGATGATGATGAGGGGAAGGAGGAGGATGAGAAGGAGGAGGAGGAGCAGGAACGGGGGCAGCAGCCAACGGCCTTCGAAAGACATCACCGATACATCGTGGCTTCTGAGAATCCCTCCGCAGATCCCCTCGAGACTCGAATCGCGAGAAAACCACGACGGGAGGCTTTTCGCTATCTTCGGCCTATGGGGGCCCTCACGGGGCCTCGGAACCGTCAAACATGAAGTTCTCCTAGATGGGGTCCGAATAGATGGGGTCGGAGGATCGCGCCGCATCGCCGAAATATCGGCGACGTCGACGTTAAGCAAATCGGGCTCCACATCGAGCCACATCGCCCTCCCCAAACCCCCTCGAGTCACGAAAAAGTCACGACGGGAGGTCTTCCGCTAGTTTCGGTCTCCGGGGGCCCTCACCGAGACTTGGGACCGTCAAGAAACGACGCAGGATGAAAAGCCGGCCCCTGGGAACGGGTCCAGACCTCTGGGGGTCGGGTCGTAAAAAAAGTCACGGCGTCGGGGGTCTGGGCTCAGCGTGCCTCCTCGACCCTGGCGGCCTCTGGGGGCAGCCTTCAGACCCCGGGGCAGTCGAAAGATCGGGCGGCTGGGAACGAGGAGGATGCCCCAGGAGGGAGGGTGCCGAGAGAGCTCCAGGGGCGCACGGAGTGGCCAAACCACGATGTCGGCAGAGAGCGGCGCGGCTGATCCGCTCCTGCGCGCTCGCGCTGCGCGTGAGCGCGGGCTGCCTCGGCGCCCCGGCGCCCTCGCGCCGCCCCCGGAGAAGGAATGGCGCTCCCAGGCCCAGGCCGCGAGGCGAGGCGGCGAGGAGCCGGGCTGCGGGTCAGGAGCTTCTGCCGAGCACGTGGCGGCGGCGGCCCCTGCGGCACGCGATGCCCTGCAGGCTGATGGCGAGTCGCTCCGCTCCGCGGGGCGGGAGGCCGGGGAGAGCTGGGGATGCTGACGCCTCGGGAATGGGACGTGCTTAGCGACAGGTCGGGCATGTCCCCCTACAGGCGGATTTTTGGACGACAACTAAAAAATAGTCCAGCAATGCGCAAAAAATGCGGCAAATAATCAAGACACCTTCCCCAGACTATTTTTTGGCTATTGTTGAATTTCCCCCCTGTAGAGGGACAGGCCCGACTTAAGCTTAGCGTGTCGGGCCGAAGGGTGATGGACAAGAACCGGCGGCCAACCAAAAGGTTCCTGAATGTATCTTGGACACGCCTGCTGGTGGTCCAGGCCCATCTCGGGGTCCCAGTCAGAATGCGCTCCAGGGGAGGCCCAGGGGGGCCGTTTATTAAGGAAGGATGGAGGAGGAGGGCGAGAGGAGGGAGGAGGGAGGAGGGACGACGAGAAGGAGGCCTTGGACAAGTTGCTGATGATCTCCCTGCCCTCCACGCGCGCGTAGTAGTCTTCGTCGATCAGCAGGGGCTCGATCACGACCAGGATCTTGTGGACGTAGGGCCGCACCATGTCGTCGAGCTTGTAGAGCACGCGGTCGATCACCTTGACGAGGAGGTGCCTCTCCTGATCCTCCAGGGTGCTGCTCATGAGCAGCGGCAAGATCTGGTTGAACAGAGGCCCCGGCCCGAAGGACCTGGCACCGTCCGTGATCTGGCGCAGGGCCGCCCGCCGCATCGGCGGGGTCCCGTTTTTCACCTTCAGCAGCAGCCGCATGATCTTCCGCTCCTTCGCCTCCTCCGGCGACAGGTTATCGTCGTTCTCCGCCGACAGCAGGGGCGCAAAGTAAGAGTAGTCCTCCGGCTTGATCATGGGCATCTCGCCGACCGCTGGCGAGGACGGCACCTCGTAGGGCTTCGGCGCGTCCGGGTCCTGCATGCTGAAGAAGGGCGTCCCACCGGGCGTGGGGGTGGGCGTCGACATGACGCTCTTCCGCATCGGCTGGTAGTTTGCCGGCGCCCTGACTATCTCGTAACCTGTCTGAGGGAAGATGGCATCCAGCTCTTCGTCCGAGATGGGCGCATTCCGCTCGTTGATCTCGGTGTCGTAGCGCCAGGCTTGGATCTGTTCTGGTGTCATCTGGGAGAAGTTCGGCGTCAGACCCACGGGAGTGGACATGCCGGCCATGCCAGGAGTACCCAGAGGGGTGGCGCCAGGGGTGAACATCTGAACTCCGCTGAAGGGCGTGGCTCCTGGCGTCGCCGAGGGCGTGGCACTGGGCGTGGCACCGGACGGCGTGGCGCTCGGGGTGGCATCGGCATCCGCTGGAGTGGCGTCGACCCCATCGTCTTTGGGCTCCATCGGTGTAGCGTCCCATCGGGCCCGCTTCTTCTTGCCTGCACCGAGGCCCGGCGTGGGCGTCTCGCCCCACTGTCCTGGCGTGGGCGTCTCCACCCCATCATCACCGCCGCCGCCCGGAGTGTCGTCCCAGGCGCCCTTCTTCTTGGCGCCTCCCTCGTCGTCGTCGTCGTCCAGGACGACTGGCGTGTCCGCGCCATCCCCTCCTCCGACGGGTGTCTCCCAGCGGTCCTTCCCGTCGTCTTTCTCCTCCTTCTTCCCTGCCCCAGCGCCGCCCGCGTCCCAGCGCCCCTTCTTCTTCGCGGGCGCACCTTCGCCTGGCAAACCCTTCCCCTCGGCCTTCGCCGTGGCCTCCTCCTCCTTCTGCTTCTGGATCTTCCGGAGCACCTCCTGCTTCTCCTTGTCCAGCGCCTGGCCCACCATCACGTCCCTGTAGGTCTGCAGCTCCGCCGCTGGGGTCGCGGCGGCGAACGGATCGGCCCTCTCCGGCGACAACATGCGCTTGTGACGCTGAGCCCGGTACGCGTCCTCCCGGTCGGCTATCTTCTTGCTCTCCGACAGCCTGAGGGGCAACGATAGGGGGGGGGGGCTTGCATAGGGGGGGATGCATCGACCTGGAATCGGCGATACATCGTCGATGGATCGGCGATTGGCCCTCAAATCCGCCGCCCCTTCCTGGGCAGGGTTGGGCCATTGGGCCCCTAACCCAAACCCCCGACATCATGATATTTTCATGACCCGAGGTCCAGACTCTTTCGCCGGGACCGGCTTTTCATACGGAGTCGTTTTCGACGGTTCCGAGGCCCCGTAAGGGCCCCATGGATGCCGAACATGGCGAAAAACCTGGTCTCAAGCAGGAAGGGTAAGGGCCCCATGGAATCTTCCTTTTTTCACGACTCGAGCAGGTCTGGGATCGGCGATGAGTGGACGACTGGGGGTCGATGTATCCCCCCCCATGCCTGTCCACCCCCCTCGTTGCCCCTGGCAGCCCCTTGAAAGGGTCGTCTTCTTCCCCTCCGGCAGGCACGTCGTCCTGCGGCGGCCCGGCCCTGGCGGCGCGGGACGGCGCGCTGGCCTGCTTCTTCTCCAGCTCGGCGGCCTCCTCTTGAGCAGGGACCGACCGCCCCGGCATTCCCATAGGCCTCCCACGAGATGTTCTTAGAACCCCCAAAATATTCTGAGAGCAGAAACACTGTTCTGAGAACACAGATCCGATGCGTGAAGACACGACTGTCTCAGCCAGAGATGTTTTAAGAACACCTCGTGCTGACCACAAAAAGGTTCTTGGAACACTCCGTGGTAGGCCTACAGGCGAGCCCGGACGCTTCGCCACTGCTTGATCCTCGTCCGTCGGCAGCGCCTTGACGTACTTGTCCCCCGGGTCCTTTTCGCCGGCCTTGACCCCGAAGGCATCGCCCTTGGCCGCCATCCCACGGCCGGCGGCGCAGAGTCAGGCGCCCGCTCTGTCCTGCCACATCGACCTGAGCCAAACGGCTTCTGCACGAAGCCAGGCCCAGCTCTCTAGAGGAGGGAACAGCGGTACAAACATACATTGTCGACGGTCCGCGCGGAGCGCCAAAACTTTCGGTTTATGGCGTTTCTCTTCTTCGATTCTGGCCTCCCTCTCCTCCCACTCCCCCTCCCTGCCCCCCCCCCCCTCCACCTGCAACTTCTCCCCCCTTCCTGCCGCCCGCCCGTGCATTTTCAGCCCCGTCCACTTGGGGGCTGCACGCGCGCTAGAACACCCATCGGCGGATAGAGAAAAAACCCGCGCAGTGGGAAGTGATGGGCGGGAGGGACAGGGTTGTTGGGCCTGTTTTCCACCACCACCACCACCGGCATAAGTTGGATGGGGGGAAGGAGAAGCAGGAGGCGGATGAGCAGGAGGAGGCGGATGAGGAGGAGGAGAAGGAGTCGGAGGCGGAGGAGAAGGAGGAGGTGGGGGAGGAGGAGGCGGGGGAGGAGGACGAGGACCCCCTCCCCTCCAACGTATGGTGGTGGTGGTGGTGGAAAGCAGGCCCATCAAGGATGTCAGATACGTGGAGTGGGGCGCGGGCGCGCCGAGATTCGCGAACGCCGGCGCTGGTCTCTGACACCCCGTGGATCTCTGTCAGCCTTGAACGATCGCGGCTCTCCGGCAGGGCAGGTCGTTCACCATCGGCCGAGTCTGGGCCACTGGCGGCATTCCACACCGGGCGCCCGCACTGGAGTCACCGCCGCGGCAGCGCGGCGCGAGCCTACCGTGCGAGGGCGCGGCGCGCTGCCTTAGGAGACAGCGCGGAGGCCTCGCGCGGCCACTCGAACCCACCTTACGCCGGATCCACGTCGGATCTACGACGAGCACACGCCGGGTTCACGTCGCATTCGCGTCAGACTTGCGTCGGGGCACCGCCGCGCGAGCGCCGATCCATAGCCAACGGAGAGGGCGTATGGACTAGATGGTACAGCTGGTGCCCGCCGCGCGATGCCTCCAGGACTGTTACTCTCAGCGCGGTTTACGAAGACGCGTTCTCTCTCTCTCTCTCTCTCTCTCTTCTCTCACACTCTCTCTCTCTCTCTCTCGGTCGCCACGAGCTCATCTAGGTCCGAGATGACCCAGGTCCGAGTGCGGCCGGGTCCGCAGATGTCTCTCACACACGCACGCGAACACACACACACACACACACACACACACGGCACGAAATCCGAAGGAGAGGCGCGACCCGCAGCGGCGCCGCCCCCGCCGTGAGCCGCGCGCGCGCGCGTGCGCCGCACCCTTGGGCTGTGGCGTGCTTCGCTCCTGCCCGCCGCCCCTGGCATGAGGGAGAGGGGCCCTGGCGCCTCAATGGGACGCACAAAGACATGCAAATACTGGATGTCCTCCTCCTTGGAGGCGCGCGTTCGGCCCGAACATACAGTATACCCATCTTGTAGTAGATCGTTTCCCGAGCGGTGTGGCCAGGGAGCGCCCGCCACGACGCGTATAGTATAAGATTTCTCGGTGCGCACGCTGCCCCGGGGGGGAGGGGCGAGGCACACGCAGAATAAGTATGTTGGGGCGACGCCGACCTCAAGGCTCTCCGCGGGACCAGCCTGCCATCTGGAGCACGATGTGCAACGGGAAGGAACCCAGTCAAAAGCAAACAAAAACGGACAAACCAGCCAGCTCATGCTGACGAATGGCGACAGGGCGACCTGCCCCGGACAAACCCTTGGACAACCCAGCGGGGATCCGGACAGCCCCCCCGGACAACCCCCTTGGACAAGGTCCCCCAATATTTTTTTACCATCTGATCTAATAATTGTTGCCACGGTTCCAGAGCTGGGGCAGGGCCCCAGGAGCCAGACAACGGTGAAAAAGACCTCCAAGGCCTCGTTGCCTCCATGGCGCCCCTGCTCTTCGTGGCGGCGCCCCTTTCCGCCTCCGCCCTCCCCCTTTCCGATCAGCACCTGGCACTGTGCGCCGCGATTGCAGCGCGCGCGTGCGTGATTGCGAGGGCCCCGATGCAGACACACCACATCGTTGGCGCGACCACGGCGCTCGGCGTATGCACGCCACCGCGTGGGAAGCTGGAGGAGGAGGAGGAGGAGGAGGAGGAGGAGGACGAGGAGGAGGGGGAGGAGGGGGAGGGGAGGAGGAGGAGGAGGGGGAGGAGGGGGAGGGGGGAGGGGAGGAGGAGGGGGAGGAGGGGGAGGGGGGGAGGAGGAGGAGGAGGAGGAGGAGGAGGAGGAGGAGGAGGAGGAGGAGGAGGAGGAGGAGGAGGAGGAGGAGGAGGAGGGAGGAGGAGGAGGAGGGAGGGGGAGGAGGGGGAGGAGGAGGAGGGGGAGGAGGGGGAGGGGAGGAGGAGGGGGGAGGAGGGGGAGGAGGAGGGGGGAGGGGGAGGAGGAGGAGGAGGAGGAGGAGGGAGCCACCGCGGCAGGGAACTTCGGCTTGGGGTGTGTCGAAGCGGCGGCCGCGGCGGCACGCCGTGCCCTGCGAGGTGGGCAGCGCCGCGAACTGCCTCGTGGGGCGGGGGGCTCTCTCGGAAGAGCCCGGGGGGACTCACGCCTCGCGCCGCGGCGCGGGTGGGCCAAAGCTGGCGGCGCAGGCACCCCGAGCAGACGCTCCTGACCGCACGCACCGAGACTGCCTCGGGCCGACGCGTCGCGCAGGGGGATCGGTGACCGAACTGGTGTGCCCTTCGTGTCTCGTCGAACCTCTGCGGCACACGTGCAGAGTGTCCTCGCAGATCTGCAAGACATGCTGCTCACGTGTGGTATCTCCGGGGTGAATCGATGATGCAGCCGATTCCTTACTCGAAGCCTGGGCGGCTTGGTGTGCGCACCGGGGCCCTCCCAGCGCGAGATGCTTGAAAAGGCAAGAGCCCGGCGGGGCTCCCCCGCTCGCGGCTCGGCGGCGAGCGCCGCGGGGGGGAGTGAGGAGAGGAACGGCCTCCTCAGCAGGCTCGGAAACCCCCCCCCCCGGCCTTCTGAGAGGCGCTCTACGCTGAGGTCGGGCATGTCCTCCTACAGGGGGATTTGGGATGAAAACAGGCGTCCCCCAAAATATCCCAAAATGGAAAAAAACACAAATCGTCCCCGGACTATTTGTGACCATGTTTGAATATTCCCCCCGGTAGGGGGGGCAGGCCCGATGGAACTCTACGCCCCCCCCCGGAGACGCAGAGAACTCCGACGGCCCGAGGGCCCCCGAGAAGTCCCGCCGCCTTCTCCTCCCCATCCCCCCCCCTCGAGGAGACGTAAGATCGGGGATGGACAGAGCCCCCTGTAGTAAAACGTGGTTTAGTGAAACGACCTGGGGCCCAAACCTGGCGGGCGCAAGCCGGAAAATGACGGCCGCGGCGCCCTCTCGAGAACCGAAAACGGACAATTCACTAATCGACGTGTCAGGGTGGGGGCTCTGTCTACCCCCGATAAGACTCGGGTACGGGGGACTCGGGATGGCCTGACGGGGCCATCATAAAAATGACGAGGCCCAATATGAAATTTGACGCGAGCTCCTGCTGCAAACATCCCACGGGAACTGGACCGTCAAAATCCAAGACGCGCTGAAAAAAACGTCCCCAGACCCAGTTCCGGCTTACTCGAGTCTTACGTTTCCCCGACCCTCGCTCGCCGCCGAGCAACGGGACCCTCCCTAAGAAGGAGAAGAAGAAGAAGAAGAAAGAACAGCGGCAAAACACATAAACTTTTACGCTCCACGCGGATATCTTGCCTCTGCGCTGAGCCCCCCTCCCTGGCGCGCGGAGCGCGCCAGGGGCGGCGCCGCCAGGGCGCGCCAGCGCAGCTCCAGGAAACTCGCGCGGAGCGCCAAAAAAGCTTATGTTTTGTTGCCGCTTGTTCGTCTTCTAACAAGGGATATGTCGATCCCTATCCCAGGCATCGCGGGGGTTTCGAATGGACAACAAAAAATTGGGGCCCAACCCTGGGATATACGAGGGGGGGCGTCCATCCTCGATAGAGGTGCATCCGAATAGCCCCATGGGGGTGTATCCCAGGGTTTCCCTCCTTTCTGAACCGCTCCATGTTTCGCCGAAAAGTCTGGGGTTGGGATAGAAACATCGCCTGCGATCTTCTTCGACTCCCGGCGAGGCTTGAAAAGGCGGAGCCCGACGGGGCGCCGTCACTCGCTGTAGCCCTTCTCCAGGCTCTGCCTGGCCACCGCCAGCTCCTCCGGCCGTGCGGACCGGGGCCCCTTCCCCCGGACACGCCTTGCCGGGCGCCGGCGCCGCGGCGCCCACCACGCCAGCGTCCGGAGGCCAGAGCGCACATACGACGAGGAAGGAAGGAAGAGATCGAGGGCGAGAAGGACCCAGAACCCGCCGAGTCATGGAACAATCATGACGTGAGGCTTTTCGCTGTTTTCGGCCTCTGAGGGCCCTTACCCAGACCTCGGAGCCGTCAAAAACAACTCAGTATGAAAAGCCGGTCCCGGGGAAAGGGTCCAGACAACTGGGGTTCGGGTCATGGAAACATCATGACGTCGGGGGTCTGGGGGGAGAGAGAGAGAGAGAGAGAGAGAGAGAGAGAGAAAAAGAGAGAACGATAGAGAGGGAAAGAGATCAGAGATCGACCTCAACCGTGTTCTGTTCGTTCTCTCGTTCTGATATCGTTTTCCCTCGTGTTGTCTTCCATCCGCCTTTGGTGCGAAACGAAGTATCGAAACAGAAACGGCTCAAACAATTGCCAAAACACCGTGTAGGCCGACCCATGAGAGAGAGAGAGAGAGACAGAAAGAAAAAAGATAACGAGAGCGAGAGCGGTCATCTTCTCCACCACAACATCCTCCTATTGATGGTGTTCCTTATTTCCCTCCTCGTCGTCCTGATCGTCCTCCTCCTGCTCCTGCTCCAGATCCTGCTCCTACTCCTGCTCCTGCTCCTCCTCCTCATCCTCCTCCTCCTACCCCCTCCTTTTTTCATGCCACTGGTCTGCCCTGTCGTGCGGACAGACTCTCCGCTTTGCCGCAATTCGTTACAAAGGCTGTCATCCAGACGTGTTGTTCTTGTTCCCAATCCTC